ACGTTTGTTTGGTATTCCCTTCGCGAATATAAGAACTTTGGTTTTAGTTACATTGACACTCAATTTCCATCTATTGCAGTATGTTTCTAAATTGTTTATACAGTTCTGTAGACCTTCTTTAGACAGTGAGATTAGGGCGAGGTCGTCCGCCCAAGATAAACAGTTAAGTGATGTAGAAGTTAAAGTTGCAGCGTCACATTTGTTTGGATCAAAACATGAAGGCAGGTCATTAATGAAAAGGTTGAATAATAAAGGACTAAGATTGCACCCCTGTCTTACCCCACATGTGGAAACAAAAGGATTCGACAATCCGTTTTGTAGTCTAACAGCATAATTAACATCAAGGTACATAGACCGCAACACATTGAAAAAATTTCCACCTATACCATAATGCGACAGTTTGTAGAATAAACCATCACGCCAAACACTGTCAAAAGCCTTCTTTATGTCGACGAAACAAACGAATAATTTACCTTTCTTTTTTTGTGTGTATTTGTCAATGAGAGATTTAAGGATAAATACATTGTCTGAGGTTCTGCACCTTTTTCTAAATCCAAACTGTGTATCATTTAGTATGCCTTTATCTTCGACAAAGTTTTGTAGTCTAGTATTCAATAATAGAGTAAATAATTTTGATAAACAGCTTGAGATGGCGATTCCTCTGTAGTTGTCAGCATTAGATTTGTCGCCTGATTTGAAAATTGGAGTGAGAATACTTGTATTCCAGTTAGATGGAAACTTGCCGTTTGATAGAATTGTATTGAATAATGTTACCAGTGATTGGCATAGCTGTGCTGACCCATGTTTTGATATGTTTCATTTACGAAAAGAGAAAATGATGGATTTCTAATATGTTCATCTCGTCATGGCACTAGTATTTATATCTGCTGTATACTGTCTCTTGTTTGTTTAAAACTGTATTGCTGTGGTCCAAGGTGGCCAAAAAAGCAACGAAATAAAGTATCTAAGTATCCATTTGCAAGACAAATGCTACTTATTACAGACTGTAATAACTATTATCTGCTAATTATTAACAGTTTGTCCCTCGAGCAAGGTGACCCTTAACTCCATGGTGACCCGGACCCAAGATTCTTCCAAATATATCTGTGAAACCGGCGAAGATTTGTATCGGCCGGGCTTTAAAATGTGTATGCAAGGTATACGTATACGTATGCGTTTGGTTTGTGTGTGTGTGTGTGTGTGTGTGTGTGTGTGTGTGTGTGTGTGTGTGAAGCCCCGATAAAGAAAAGCCCAAAAGCACACCAAAAATAACCCAAAAACTTTGCTTAGAGAGCACAGACAGTATCCATTTGCGAGACAAATGATATCCAATACGCCGTTAAAAAAACAGTGCTGTTATTAAATGTGTCGCCCTGGCTGATATCTGTTATGAACAGGACGCGATGTACTCCAATAGCTATAAAGGACTCAAAACTTCGTGTCGGAAATTACGTTTCAGAGGGTTAAAATTCAAATTTTAACCACCTTCGGCGCTCTGTATAGTATATGATGAACTGTTACATTAAAAATCTCACTCCCCCCTCCCCCATTTAACGATTTCCATTAAGATTGGTACATTAGCACAGCTTGCGATGTATAGTGGTACTGCACGCTGTACTATTTGATCGAAATACGTTGCAGTTCCCATATACACTGTATCAGGGTGTGTCAGGGTGAAATACCGGCCGGGTCCCCCAAATACGCCGTATTAGCGAGAACACCGTATTTGGTTATGCTGTATTTCACCCAAATACACGTGTATCAGGGTGAAATACGGCCGGTTTACCAAATACAGCGTATTTGACCTGAAAAACACTGTTTTTCACTCAAATACGCTGTATTTGGCTTTTGACTGGTATACCCCGCCATAGCCACCGCCGCGGCGATCTAGGGACAAAATGACAATGAACTTTATTGCAGATTCACGCCCTACATGGGCCTAATGCACTACGTTAGATAACTGAGGTACATGTACATGTAGGAGAAAGAAGTACTACATTATTATGTTACGTCTATGTTACAAGATCTCTAAAAAAAGCTAGAGAGGGGTAGCACCTCTTACGAATGGGGTTACATATAATATATTATGGTTGATGCCCGCTCAGTGCAAATCATTTCAACTCCATACAAAATGTAAATTACTTCTTGCCACACAACCATCGAACGCGATACATAGCACTAAGTCGGGGTGTGGTCCCGGGAATAAGATAAAGGTAGTCCCAAAGCCTTGTCATGGTCCAGGGCATATAAATGTAGGTGCAGTACTAGACTATTATATCTTTAATCTAGGGCACGGTATTATTTTGTCAAAAAGAGAAAAGCCTAGTTCTACATACCGGTATCATCCCGGTAGTACGTTGTCCACTGATTAACGGCAGCGCAGAATTCACCGTTCGGCCCGCCCCCGCCTGCTGACCCGCACTGTCCGCCGTCCCCGTCCGCGTACCAGCGGTAGCACAGCTGTACGTTTCGGAACCACGAGGCACTGCTCAAAACATAGGAAGACAGAATTATATTCTAGGTAGCAGGTAGTGTTACGCAATTTCTCACTGTCAGGGGCTGATTGGCCTCCTCCCCAAGAGCTTGTGCCCATACGATTCAATGTTGAGAGAACAGTTTCTAGAACTATCAATAGGTGCTAACTGTGACTATGATAGTCGAATACAAAACTGTCCAATATAGGAGCTCCGTATTCACTATGGGAACCTGGCAAGACATCACAACTTCGAGCGCCAACATGGTAACAGACAAGTCTCAGATACCCAGTTTCAGTTCTCAGACAACGATTGGTCCATGTTAGCACATATGCATAAATCAACAGGATTGATGTCGTAAGAGGTGTTGACCAGAAAACTTCTAGGGGCCAGTGGAAGGGCTGCTAGGAGCGTGATGTAGTCACCGGTGCGCTGTGTGTGATAACTGACCTGTAGCTGGATTCAATCCTCCAGCTCATCCGGCAGCCTCCCCCGCGGTTGTCGGTGTCGTCCCTGTAGTACGGGGTCATCCGGTCGACGTTGGCGCAGAGATGACGGGCCGCTCCCCCGCCACACTGCCCACCGTCCCCGTCCGGGTACCAGCGGTAACACAGCCGGGTGGAAGACGTGAAGGCAGCAGGGGGACCGCTCTGGTCATGACAGTTGTAGCCAGCGATTCCACACCTGTAGCGACGTCGCCTAGCGCATAGATGGAAGAAAGAGTCTGTCTGAGTGAGCATGTATCTGTTGTTACCTCGGTGTGTATACCTGAAGGTGCTTTAGTGTGCGTGTCTGTATGTGTCGGTATGTTTGTACAATGAATAGTTGCAGTACGTGGCTGGGTGGATTCCCTAACCACAGACCACAAAAGGTAGGTCATGAGAAGTTAGGTCCCAGAAGCTGGACGTGCCAGCAGAAAGTTGGTCACATGTACATTCATACTGACAGAATTGACGCAATCACCAAGGGTTAAAGTGTGAAAATGCATGGATAAACGGAAAGCTTTACAATAATGAATAAAACAAAAAATCACTAAAACGAAAATTAATATTTCCATATTTAAGATTTAACAATTACAGATGTCTTATATTTGGAAACCTAACATAAATAAAGTTTGCCTGGATACCAACCCAAAAAACTTGGCTATTCAGAGAATATCTTTTGGCTTACAGTGTAATAAATCAAATAATCAAATCAAATCAAATCTGTTGGCTTACCTGGCACCGCACGTGTCAGGACAACAGTCGCCGTCATCGTACCGGTACCCGGCAGTGTTGCAGCCCGGGTCGCACCACCCATCCCCCACCCAGTACGACGGGCAGTAGCGGATGCTGCGCTTAGCCCTGGTCTCCTCTGAGTCGGCGTCAAGCTTGTCTCCGTAAAAGTAGGTTTCATCAACCTTTAGAAAAGTGCACAAACATTCAATTATCGCTCATTACATGTAGTACATTCATACTGAAAGTATAGACGCACTCCCCTATAGGTGGAAGAAAGAATTTTTGTGAGCATGTATCTTTTGTTAGTATGACATTTTGTTAGTTTGACATATGAACTATAACTTCACGAAACCTGAGTGGCTATCTTAAGTTTATTGTCCGGATTCTCTTCAAAATAATTTAGCAATATTCATTCACGAAGTCTAAATATATCAAGGTTAATGTGAACCAATCGATATCTCTCTAAAGCTGGGGTTTGTAAGATTTCACACTATTTAGAATAACTGTATATGTAGTCATGACATTGTCTGAATGCCTCGATATCACAGTGGTAAAGGGAGCCTCAATGGAAACCACCATGTCCTTGTTTCTTATTCTTCTGTCTAGGGCATTTTTTTAGAGGTCGAAGCCCATCCCTCTCATTCCACTGTATTATCTCCCCGAAGTCAGGTACCTGTTGTACATATGGATGGAGTGCGGAAAGTCCTGTAAAGTGCCTTTCCCAAGAATACAAGGTCTGGCCACTCGGCCACAAAGTTGGTATTACTTACTTAGCTGATACATACCTGACACTGTATCTCTGAAGCACGGCCCCGCAGGTACTCCTTAAACTCCACATGTCGGCTGACCTCCACGGCTGGCCCCAGATCACGTGTCTCTCCCTGCTGCAGCTTCTCCAGAACCTCCGTGACTTCCGTACAGTTCATCCCGCCAACCAGCTCCAGGAGACTCTCCTCGTACTCATCGTTAGTGGACTCTGATACTTCTTCAGGGGACTGTAGCGAAGACAGATGTATAAGACGACCAACAATTAGATTTATAGTCAAACGTTGAACTTTATTACAACACACAATTTACAGTCGCCTTCATCAGGATAATTAATGACCAATCACTTCACATCGTGATCTCGCGAGGGTTACGGTTTACAAACACAACACGTGACCTTATTCACATGAGACTTTACTGATATGTGACGTAAGCTGTGTACGTGACACGTGTTTGTAAACCGTAACTCTCGCGAGATCACGTTGTGAAGTGATTGGTCATTAATTATCCTGATGAAGGCGACAGTGGTCGCTGAAAATTTGATCTCTCTGTAAATTGTGTGTTGGAATAAAGTTAGCTTCTTATTAGCTTCTTAGAAGTGTCACTACTGTTAGATAAATGTTAGCAATACCAACCCTATATGTATATGTTGCTATAGGCTGTACCCGCTACAATCGTTGTGCAATAAAGTTCTTTTTTGGACATAGTCAAAGAGCAACAGAGAACACAGGACTACTGAGAGTAGATGTTATAATATGGGTACGTGAGACAGTTTACCTTGGGTTTCTTGGCTATCTCTCCCATGTAGAAGGCAAGCACGATGCTCCCACTGACCAACACAGCCAGAACAACTGCCGCAGCCACGCCACACAACACAGAACGGTCACGGGACTTCGACATGTGTTTCTAATAGAATGCAGTAGATAGGAAATATATATATATATATATATATATATATATATATATATATTCATCTTTGTGTGATTGTTATTTACTTCCATTTTTAAATATGTGTGCATTTATCTCACATATTGTACATTTATGGTTGGCTATGTATAAAAACAGCCCACATGAAACCCACTAAGCAGTAAGCTTGGGGCACCATCAAAAAATGCACGTCGGCAGAACGTACTGCGCCTGCGTGAAACCACTGAAACGGTTTTCCATTGGATGTTTGGTCACCATTGCATCAGAATTTTGCCTGTTACAGAGGTCGTCTTTTCCGACACAATACTTGGAAATTACAGACGGGATGTTAACATTATATAGTATTACATGTACGCGACTACGACCTTATATGAGACTTTCTGCTGAAGTGCTATGTATATGCACAATACATTATGTGATTCAAGCAGGTGCAGTACGTTCTGCCGACGTGCTCACAACAAAATAGCAGAATGTAAACAAACATGGCTGACTGGCGTATTTCCAGCTCGTCTGGTGTAATATTTTGGCACCAATACTTCCAGCATGACACTTATTTGCAGTGGAGCAGTGTTGATTCAACTTACTTTGTAAAGAAATGACCAGACAATTTACTTCTGTATCGTCCTAATGTTACATAAAAGATTTAAACTTACTTTCCGCACAAGGGTGTCCAGAGAGGAGGTGCTCCCACCATGGATGGTGAATGGAGGCAGGGTCTTGTCGGTCATAATTCAATTGTTTCTAGAAATATAAGTAAGGACATGGGAGTATTTACAAAGGGATCTATTTTATTCGGCTCCATATTTAACAAATTACCTGAGTGGAAAATGGGCAAAAAGTTGCCTCATGGGAGAGTATTGTATAGAAGTGGCTAATGGTTGCCTAATATGAGAATATTGTATAGTAGTGGCTAAAACTCCACCCCCTATATTAATGACTCAAGTCAGTCAAGTCTGAACCTATCGGCCCGGGTCTCAGGTACCCGGTGTCCAGCCTACATCGCGGTTGGGGCGGGTTTTCTTCGGGGCCACAGGAGCTCTTCCCCGCCCGACTCATTTAGGTTCCCCGGTAGGATTTGCACTCCTTGCGTGCAAAACTCCTGTACAGGCGTAACACCTCTACCGGGCGGTCGGTTGAGCTGGACGGGGGAAAGCCTGCCCCAACCACGATGGACTGGGAACCAATCTCAGGTAATTGAGGTACACAATTGCGCACTCCGTCACACAACGCCGAGGGGATACAATTACTTGTTGTACACCTGAGTCCGAGTAGGAAAAAACCTTCTTGAAAAATAAAATTTTCAGGTCAATTGAAGTAAACAATTACACAGTCCTTGGCGCCAACACACACAGCCCTGAGGCGGTATAATTACTAGTACCTGCTGACGTCCTGATTCCGAGTTGAGGAAGTCACATCATCGAAAAATAGAACTATTAAATTTAATTGGAAGGTCATTTGGTGACAAATGTCAGTATACAGACATTGACATCTGTAACTTGATTCAATCGTCATAGTCATAATATGAATATAAATAATCCTGCTATTAGGTCTAAAACTATGGATTCAAAGATAATATTAAACAACAATGATAGACTAACTATCAATCCAAATATTATTCCTATTAACAGGTGATTAGTTTGACAAACTGAGCTAGAGACGTATGGTTAGAAATCTAGAAATCTGTACACTGATTTGAATGGTTATATCTGTAGCGTCTGCCAATCAATTAGATTTTTTCTGTATCTGTAACAGTTTAGCTGGTATTACCGATGCAGCACACACTATTGACAGCCTGTCAACAGCTAATACCGTGTATTAAATTAACCGCAAAGAAATGCACAATGCCAAAAATAAGTTAAGATCGTATAGATTGTTTACAACTACCTACAATGAAGAAAAATACCAAAGTAATCAAAAAGGGGAAGGTCAGAAATGCAGTCACAAAACTAAGGATCCGCTACCACAAACTACAAATTGAAACTGGAAGACATACCCGCACTCCTCTGGAACAAAGGTTGTGTAAATTTGAATGGAATAGAGGACGAATGTCACTTTGTTATAGAAGATTATACGGTAAAGAGAGAAATGACCTGTATAGGTTTGTACAAAACCTATTTCCTTACTTCATACAGTTGAGCACTGTAGAAAAGGTTATATTCCTTATGCAATTTGACAAACCATCCATCGAAAAACATATCTGTTCCTTTATGTCTACTATAACTGAAAAGCGAGGAGAAGAATTTATGTAATGATAGTTAGTTTTATTTTTTTAGATATATCTTTTCATCATGTTTTGCTTTCACCTGTACTTATCCCAGCGTGGCAAAAATGTGCAATTAAGGTCGCCATTCATTAAAACGGCAGATCTACCGATGATACAAGTTGACGCGATATATGATATGATTTAGTGAGAACCCCCAGTCCCGAAAAGCAGAGCACAGTTTTCGCCCTATGGGGATTTTCATACGTTAAAGCCACTCTATGTAGTTTTTTGACAATACAAAAAGTATATTTTTCATTCTTTTCTTTACATAGTACATTGACTTAACCCTTTAGTATTCCAAAATTATACTCCGCAACAAAAAATACAACATCCTTGCTCCTTATAAGCTTAGAAAACTGTGAATGATCTTCTATTCAACCTCTGGCCACACCAGGCCACACCGTACATATGGTATTGCCCACTGCCAGTGGTTTGACCTACATCCCAGTGGGGTGTCAGTTGATAGCTTACCAGTTTCTGAAATACCTAATCGTTTACCAGATCTTTTATCTCTTTTGAAGGGATGATGACCACAGTTTATTCATGCCCAACAAAATACTCCAAGTTGATGATTATATTCCACCTCATGTGAAAGATATGAGTTTTTTCTAAGGAGACTAACATCTTGTGACATGTGCCCCTGTCTATCAAGCCTGGCATGCCCGGGCCAATTAGCCACCCCAGGGGGGCAACCCCTGTATGTTGTTGTTGTCCTGAGCAAACCGGTGCCACCAGGAACCCAACAAGGACTGTTTGAACGGACAAAATATACGTAAAAAATGTGAAATAATGACACAAATGTGTTGAAAAGTGATAGTAACTGTTAATAATACCAAAATTTAGTATAATTAGAATATTTCAAATTTTTGCGAAAAAAAATACATAGAGTGCCTTTAAGAACCACAAGGTGACTCACTTTGACTGGGTAAATATTATCGAAGGGTGCACCTCATAAATATGAAAACTGACGATGTTTGAGTTTAAGATACAAACTACAAAATGTATGAAAAGAAACAAAAAAATATTTCGGCATATCGGCCTGTGATGCACTCTTTGAATTCGCCCTCTGTGGTCAACTGAACTGCAGCAGACTCACCCGGTAAGTTGCGTAATATGGCGCATGTATACACGAACTGCAAAACCTTCACAATCCAAATCAAACAGTATCAAACCGCCATATTCCTGTACATCTGACGTTCACACGAGGCTTTCTACCCAGTCTCTGTACAACTCGCGTCACAGGACCCTGGGGTCGCCCATTAGTACTCTGTTCTGCGACCTTAAAAATGCATGGAATCACGTCTCAGGGGGTCTGAGGAAAAGCCAAACTTTCACTTGAAACATGCCCCCACAACAACCTAGATTGCAAGCGCCGCCCCACAAATGCCCCGAAACACAAAAACGCTACCTATAACAGCGACAAAAGATTTAGTGACAACCACAAAAAGTCCAAAATAGCCTCTCAAAATGCGGGAAATCTCGTCTGAGGGGGTCCACGGAAAAACAAACTTTGGCGTGGAGCATGTCGCGGGACACCCCTGGATTGAAAGCGCCGTCCCCCAAATATCATTAAAAATCCTACCTATAACAGCTTGTATACATACGGTCATGATGAAGGAGTTCAAAAAGATCTAACCTTTCAATCACACGCAAAGTCGCGGGATCCAGGAACGGAGGCCCCGTGCACAGCGACACTTGGTATGGAGTCCCTCTCCGTGAAAAAAACCGAATACACTGTGTGCCGTCTTCTGACACAGGTGGGTTTATATAGTGTGAAGCACGCACTGTAGCCCATTGTTTTGAGGAGGAAACAAATTTTGAAAAAAATAAGACTAAAACCCCGCCTCCCTATATGCATGGCTGAATTCTGTCGGGCATTGACCTGCTTAAATACCTGGCGGGATCACAGGTCAATTTAGGTACACAATTGCACACTGCGTCAAACACACTATTAAGGGGATACAATTACTTGTTGTGCTTCTGACTCCAAGTAAAGGAAACAGTTATCTTGAAAAATAGAACTATTAAGTTTCATCGGAAGGTTATTTGTTAACACAAGTCAATGTACGGGCATTGGCCTTTTTTTAAAAGGTGGTTCAATGGACAATCAGGATTCATATTATCACCGAGTCAACTGAAGCAAGTTAAAAAAACAATTTCCGTACATTGATCGTGACTTGTGTCCCCAAATGACCTTCTAATGAAACTTAATAGTTTTTTTTTCAAGAAGGTCGCTTCCTTTACTTGGAATCAGGAGTGAAAGTTGTTTGTCACAGGTGAACCCCTTAAGGCTGTGTCAGCCAGGTTAAGCTGGAGCGACACTCAGGCGTCACGGTTGCTTTCGTTGGATTTTCGTTGTTGTCATGTTTTCATGTTCAACATTCCTTCTAGATGCATGCGCGTCCGAGAGTCACTGACTTCTTATGGGTTCACCACACCACGAAGTGGTGGTGAACCCATATTGCTTTTTCTGATGTTTCTTCTCCTTCTCCTTCTTCTTCTTCTTCTTCTCCTGCCATTTTTTAAATGGATTCAGCTTCTTCATTTTAGGGCCTAAGGTCCTGAAATTTGGTATGGAGGTACAGTGGGCAAATACCCCTAGGCGTTTTTTAAATTTTTGTGATACAGGCTTTTAGAATGGTTTTATTTGAGTTTTTTGGCTGTGTTATAGCAAATGTATTACTGTGTTAGTGTGCCGTGTTTACCACGTCTGGGCATGAGTCATCACAATGGAATGCAGGGCATCAACCAATAGGCATGCAGCTTTCCTCTATACTTCTTGCTGATTGGCTGTTGGGATTTAACTTGATTAACACCTGCACAGAGCATTTCCACCTGCACAGAGCATTTCTTGCTGATTGGCTGTTGGGATTTAACTTGATTAACACCTGCACAGAGCATTTCCATACTGACAGTATGTCTTTATTCAAGTGTTTTGGTAGGTATTTCAAGCTTTTCTGCTCCAGCATTGGAATGCGGGGCATGAACGTTTTTTTTTATTTTGAAAATCAACAGTTTGCATTATGCAATTAAAAATCCTAACCAATAAAGTAGGGAATAGCTATCCAACTGTTGTTTTAGTTGTATGTTACTTCATATTATAGTTATATCAATGTAAATCATTGTTTTCCCTTGTGTTTCTCATTCTTTCCCTGCCATGTCGTAAAATGTGGTGAACCCATCGCTATATTTGCTCCAAAGCAAATATTGGCCTTTCTAGTTTGAAGTTTGTTTTTACTAGTACGTTAAGTTTCTGAGGTCAACCTGAATCATTGGGATGTTGAGTATTTTAGCAGATATTCAGGTATCTTGGCATAAAAGGCCGGTACCCTGTCGATATTCGTTGTGAATGGGAAAGCTTTCATGCAAGATATTTCACTACTAACGCTTACAGTAGCAGGTTGCATTCATATGGAGTAGATAAACATAAATAAGTTTGGCTCTTAAACTGCAAAATCAGGGGTCTGAGGAAAAACCAAACTTCCAAGGGGAGCATGGCCCCGAACATCCCTAGATTGCAAGCGCCGCCCACGGACATATTCAATACATCTTTACCTATATTGTCTCACCAAAAGACGCTCCTATGATTTTTTCAAGAAGGTCGCTTCCTTGACTTGGAATTAGGAGCACAGAGTTTCCTACAGGTGTTCCCCCTCAGGGCTGTGTCTGCCTGACTGAAGTAACGTGAAGTGACACTCAGGCGTACAAGTGTCTTCTACCTGGGCGCAGACATGTCCTAGGGGTCACTGACCTCCTTGTTTGAATTTTGGTACTACTAGTGTGTTTAGTGATATGATATGATGTGATATGAATCTTTATTGCATGTTCTTGCCCAGATGGGCTAAATGCACCAGAGGATAAGCAGTATGCAAAACATATTAGTATTGCATACTAGTACTGGGACGCTATATTCTAATGCTAATTGCTAGGAAATCGGAGTAGTAGTAGTAGTAGTAGTAGTAGTAGTTTAGTAGTAGTAGTAGTAGTAGTAGTAGTAGTAGTAGTAGTAGTAGTAGTAGTAGTAGTAGTAGTGCGTTTAGTTATCTTGGCTTGGCTTATAAGGTCCCATAAAACATGCATGTAGCGATTTAGGACCCCCCGCCATTCCTTCTTTTGGCTGACCATTTTTTCGCATCCCATCACTTCCTTTTGGGGTCGACGACCCTCTTGCAGGAAACCCATTCTTGGAAAGGACCGTCTTGAGGAAATGTAATTTGATGATGATTGTCCCGTGCCCCGGGTCAATCTGAGATTAGCTGAGATACGCTGACATCCAGAAATTAACTGTCTGGTATATACTAAGTACCATTCTCTGTCTGTTTTCTCTGTGTCACCAGAGGGATGGACTGAACTGAACTCCGCAACCTTCCTGAACACTTAAATTTCATAATAATCACATTTTTGCCCAACTTCACACATTCACACCAGTTTAGGGGTGCACGAGGACGCCATCCATATTTTCAGTCAAAATGGCCTTGATGTATAAAACATTGGCTGATGACGACCGACGACTCGAACGAGGAAGACTTCCTTGTTGATGTAGCTGCCAGCACCGACAACCTTCAAACTGCATGCATCAAGACTTCCGCCCGGATTCTTGGATTACGACTTGCTTACAACGTGAAAATCTTTTAGCTTATATTTCAACTGAAGCTATTTTTTTCTCTTCTTCCTCTGAAATAGGACGGAAAAATATACACGGATAGAAGTTGAGAGGGGTCAGTTTAAAATGTCAACCCCACCTACTTGCCATGATTATAATAACAAATGCGTAGTAATTGAAAAACATTTTGAAAGGGCGGATATTGAGATGGAAACGGCAGTGTAAGGCGTCGCCAAAAATACAATATTATACAAATGTAAACACTCACATACGCCACACACACTCACACACGCCACTCACACACGCCACACACACACACTCACTCACACACGCCACTCACACACACGCCACACCGACACACATGCCACTCACTCACACACACACACGCCACACACACTCACACACGCCACACACACTCACACACGCCACTCACACTCACACACGCCACACACACACACACACTCACTCACACACGCCACTCACACACACGCCACACCGACACACACGCCACTCACACACACACACGCCACACACACTCACACACGCCACTCACACTCACACATGTACACGAAGAAACGAGCACTTTGCGCAGTATACAGTCAAAAATCAAGGACTTCGCACACTTGAGATAGTTTCGAGCACATGAACGTTACCTCAGTCATACTTGATTTGACCTTTTAAAAGGACCTTCATTTCTTTCCGTCATCCTGGCGGACGATCAGTTCACTGATGATGTTTGTCGGCACGGCGGTGTGCAGCTAACCCGGCCTCCGCAGGGCCTGCTGCAGGTCGTAAACATGTCCGGTGCAGTTCTTGATGTATGACTTTAATGCGGGACCCATGTATATATGGGGCATGTGTATGTACGATGTTTCTCGTGCAACGCTTCGCGAATGCGGAAGTACCTACCCCGCCGCATGGCAAAAGAAGTCAAGGGTCTGTGACCTGCTTATGACTTCAAATTACTTGAAAATATTGTGCAAAGACAAGACAACGGTTAAGGCAATGGTAGAACTTCGTTGATTTGGCTGCAACACGTCTTGTGGACGAAGGGAGGTTCAAGAATGAGCTCCGTGGAGCTGGAATTCAAAATTAGGCAAAGCCAAGACAACATCCTGTTTCTCGGACACCCGTGGAGTTCGCATTCGCGGTGTGGCATTGGGCAGACGTCACAAACGATTGTAGTGCCTAGTTAATACCTTTGAAAATCCTTTTTTTTCTCTTGAAAGTTTTGGTCCATTCTGGAGATTTTTGGGCTGGAAGGCACAGGTAGGGTCTAAACTTTCCTACATTGGTGAAGTTTTGTTTATTTCACCAGTTTAGTGGGCGTAGTGAGAGATGTGAGTGGTTAGGTCTTGTCTGGCCAGGCGGATGGATACCATGGAAAATGTAGGTCAAAGTTGAGGTTTTCTTACTATCATCAGCTGTGGCGGGAATTTGACCTGGTTGACCCCCTGTTTCCTTTCTATTTTTGGGAATCAGACCCTTGTTGCTACCTGGTGCAGAAAAATTTTTGAGATTGAAGTATGGGCAAGTACTTTCATGAGGTGCTGAAATAGTGTATTTAAGCATGTGTTCCTATGGCAAGATCTAATAGTACTGTCTGCCCTTCGTGGCTACCTGGTGCAGAAGAATTTTTGAGATTGAAGTGTGGGAAAGTACTTTCATGAGGACTTCTATTAGTGTGTTTAAGCAGGTGTTCCTGTGGCCAGATTTAATAGTACTGTCTGCCCTATTGCGAAGGAAATGATTATTAAAACATTCGTCATTGTATGCAACATAATCAAGTTTTCTTTCGTGAAATGAAACAAAAAGACGATTGGCTAACGTCGTGACCCTTTATTGCAACCAAGTGCCATAAACTATTGGAAAGCGAACATGTGCACAGCACCTTGACAGCAGCACTCTTGAAATACATGTACTAAAACTCAATACACAGTCGCCACACCACTTTAAGACATAGAGCGGTACAATAACAAAGTTTTATACAAAGTATTTAGTTTCTTTATCATACTGAAAGTTGCCAGGCAGTGTTGATACAATATCTGTAAGAAGCGTTCGAAAGTATGTTGACTAAGACGATATGAGATGTTTACTTGCAAAAGGCCAACTCTCCGTTTTTTAAGCTTCTAGTATTTGGTCTTTTCTGTAACAGATAATGGCAAGCTTGGTTAATGTATGCACGCTACTACTACTAACTGTAAGTTATATCTATGTTTCTACTTAGCTCGACGGCATGTATGTATCATTATATGGCATGGACTTATCATTATATCTATCAGTGCGCAGTAGGAACGCATCCCATTCCTGCATCCACTTCCTTCTGGATGGGTTCACGGTTACCTGTAAAATAGCCATAGTAAAAACCAAATTCAGACTGTGTTACAAATTATACCACTTGGAAACCATAAAAAGCTACCTCCTCGATACACATCTATTACTATTATATACAGAACATAGCTATAGGTCTATGGTAGTTTTGCGTTACATATATGGCTTTCTTTAGGTCAATGTATTGACCGTATGCATCGTCAAATACGAACTTACATCAACCTTCATATGGCTAAACAGTGTCGGAGTTGTAAAGCTAATCCGTGGGGTCGTGTGGCGTAGCGGCAGAGTGCTCGACTCGGAACCAAGAGGTCCCGAGTTCGAGTCCTGACATGCCACCGATCGTGTGCCCATAGGAAAAGCCCTTTACACGACTTTCCTCACTTTGCTCAGGTGAAAATGAGAATTGTATTGTCCCCCGTGTAGGTTGAATATAGTTTTCAACATAAGTTGAAAAAATTACGTCTTGTGACTACATGTTGGAATATAAACACCAAATATAAACGTAGTTATAGGACATCCCTCTCCTTCTATCGCCTTTTTACCTTCCTGACAATCGTTTAAAAAACCAGGTAACCATTTTACACTTAGGTAGATCGAGGAAAGGTGTAAAGTAAAGTGTAAAGTGACTTTCCCACGGGCACAGCGTCTTATCAGGAATGCCAGGAATCGAACCCTTAACATTTTGATCCTCCTAGCCTTATTTAATTACCACTCGCCCATTGGCTTATTCGATACTCTCCAAGCAGAGATTTGGGTTTGGTTTTTTTATTGGCGCGTTTTTAGATATTTTTATCGGGGTTTCTTTTTCCCGATAAAAATGGAATTTTTCTTTCACCAAAGAAAAAAGAAACCCCGATAAAAAAGTTTAAAAACATGAAAAAATAACACAAAACCCGAACCTCTGCTTGGAGAGTTGGGTTGGGTGAAAGAAAAATTCCAGTGCAAAAAAGAAACCCCGATAAAAAGTCTAAAAATATGCCAAAAATAACCCAAAACCCGAACCTCTGCATGGAGAGTTGGGTTGGGCGAAAGAAAAATTCCAGTGCAAAAAAGAAACCCCGATAAAAAAAAGTCTAAAACATGCCAAAAATAACCAAAAACCCGAACCTCTGCTTGGAAAGTTGGGTTGGGTGAAAGAAAAATTCCAGTGCAAAAGAGAAACCCCGATAAAAAAAGTCTAAACACATGCCCAAAATAACCCAAAACCAGAACCTCTGCTTGGAAAGTTGGGTTGGGTGAAAGAAAAATTCCAGTGCAATAGAGAAACCCCGATAAAAAAAGTCTAAAAACATGCCCAAAATAACCCAAAACCAGAACCTCTGCTTGAAGATTTGGGTTGGGCAAAAGAAAAATTCCAGTGCAAAAAAGAAACCCAGATAAAAAAGTCTAAAAATATGCCCAAAATAACCCAAAACCAGAACCTCTGCTTGGAGAGTACCATTCGATGACACTGCTTGATCTGCATGCTATGTGACTATAAAGAGCATAATTATGTTTATGTGTACGACCTGGGCCCTCTCACCTTAAATCCGGCGCCTGCAGTAATAGCTGACGTCCAGGTACTTGAAGGTGCCCCCACAAGGGTCTCCGAAGACACTGTTGCTGGCCCGAATGACGCAGGAACTGCTATAGTTACAGGCGTTGCGGACAATCCGGAGACTGTTGTGGGCATAGCAGTTCACGGTCCGGACGGGTCCTCCGCAGGGGCAGGACGAGGTCCGACCGTAGTTGGCGGCCACCACCACTATCTGCTCCCCGTAACCGCAGGACAGGACCGCGGTGCGGTGCTCACAGGCCACGATGTTTACTGTGGAACAGAGGCGAAAACATTGAAGCACGACACACGTCACACTAAATGATAGGCAGTAGCCTCCTTTGCAGGCGTCGGAGGTGTGTCGACTTTTTTTAGGGGGGGGGGCGTTGATTTTGTCCTGGTGCTGTCAACCCTTTTTTTTGGGGGGGGGGGGCACTTGGTTGCAAGTTGCCGCAATGTCGATTGCACGTAGACTGTACGCGCTTGTTGCAAATCTGGCCGCCCTATATAGCTCCAGGGAAGACATACTAGTGAAGTCGGCCGGCGAGTGCGATCTACATGATCAAAAAATCGTGCAACTTGCAAATAAGCACCCCTCCCCCTCCGCCCAAAGCCGACCGCACCTGGAATAAAAAACAGCGCTAGACTGGTCGGTATATACGGTGCTGGGAGTGCTTCCTTCCCGCACATGCCGGGGGTTTCTACGTCGACATTTTCAACTACTTAGCCTAAGGGATGGCAGGAATAAGCAAAGAGGTTAATTACATTTTAAACCTCATTGAAATAAGAAAGGCTGGCTGGAAAGATCAGCGGCGGTTAGCAAGAAAGACCAGTGCTCTGTAGGCCGGTAAAACACCCCTAAACCGGCCCGGTCACCAATCAAAAACCAATCGTTCAGTCCAACAGAAAATCAACAGTGAAAGAAACTAGAAAAGACAGAATCCGTACTTACGTTGTTCGCTTGGAGCGAAGAGAGCCGCCAGTAGGAGAGCCAGGACCACGAAAGTCTTCATGCTGAGAACTGCAAGGGGCTGTCGGAAGATGTTTAAAAAACACAAATATCATATGAAGCTCACAAGGTCAACGGGATTCTTGAAGATGTTTTACTGCTAACGTAAAATTACACTGGTGTGAAAATATAGTAGATTAATTTCTTCATGCTTACAGACAAAAAGAAAACTACTTTTCTCTTAACATCACAAAACCCACACATCACCGAAAAAGTGGGATTCTTCGTCTTCCACTGTCTCGAAAAAAGAAGCCGAACCCAATAAGTTAGAACTAGAGTTAAACATTAGATTCCAATATTTAGGCTAGAGTAGTTACATGCTGTATTGTTACACATTGTCTGTTCTCTGTATGTCCACTTACATGTACTTGCAATTAGCCCACGGGCAAGAACTTGCAATAAACTTATCTATTATCTATTAAAGTTCGCGTCTCAGGGGGTCTCGAAAAACTTTCACGGTGAGCATGGCCCATGGCCAGGACCTCCCTAGATTGCAAGCGCCACCCCAAAACATATTTTCAAAACTGTTACCCATAAGTGTAACACTAACAGGTTACATATGCATGCGGTCAGGATGAAGATCTTACCTTTTAATCAGGAGCAATCTCGCGGGATCCAGAAAAAAAATGGAGGCCTCGTGCCCGATCAGCGAACTCTCCGTGGAAAAACCGAAGACACTGTGTGCAGTCTTCTGTCACAGGTGGGCTTATATATAGTGTGAACCACGCACTGTAGCCCATTGTTTTGAGGAGGAAACGAGATAAAAGAAAAAGATACGACTAAAACTCCACCCTCTGTATGCATGGCTGAACTCAGTCGGGCATTCACCTTATACTAGTAGTACTAGTAGTATTCTTATTCCCAGGATGCATGTTTTTCCATGTTTTTTAAGGTGTTCAACTTGGTGACTTAATACTGTAGGTAGGTGAGTGAGTGAAATTATTGTGTTTTTCCAGAAAATAACAGGAAACGTGGTTTATAACGTTACTCCAAGGTAACGTTATACCGTCTGTCATTAGGACTGCTCGTCTTTCAATATTATTTCTCGAAATAAAATACAACAGTTTTTGCAGTGTATACATATTAAGAAAGCAACATCATTTCGTTTATTATGTCCTCAAGAAATGTAAAAACAATACCGAAACACATGATTCTGAACCCCTGGCGCTATGCATCCTGGGAATAGGAAAGGGAAAGGTTGACCTTTCTGAACAGTAGGCCGATTTTCAGGTCAATTGAAGTAAACGATTGCAAAGTCCCTGGCACCAACACACACGGCCCTGGGGCGATATAATTACCTGCTTAAGTCCTGATTCCGAGTAAAGGAAGTCACATCCTTGAAAAATAGAACTATCAAATATAATTGGAAGGTCAGTTGGTGACAAATGTCAATATACGGACATTGGCATTTGTTAAATTGCTGAAGATCGTCACGGATGTAATAAAAATGTAATAAACAACCCATGTGTTAGGTCTCATAGTATTCAACAACAATGGCAGGCTAAATATTACTTCAAATGTACAACCTTCTCAGTTTTTTTTAATATCAGTCAGCATAAACAATTATATCATTCAAACTTTAAGGTCTCTTTTGCAAAGTAACCCTACTAGGACTGCAAATGACCTTACAATGAAGTTTTGACCGCTTCGGGACTGGGCGCTGATCAAGAAATAGCGTTCTTTGAAAATTGACTCTGGAATAACAGTAACTATACGTATACTAATTTGAACAAACACATGTCCTTCTCAAAAGCCCGGTGGTAGTTTTTGAGTTGGTTGACAACGTTCATTGTGACGTATGTCATCGGCGGTCATCACTGCACTACCTTGCGACAAAAACCTGGAGTCTGAAAACGTTTTTGCTGAATAACACTGAAAAAGTGTACATTTAGCGCTGATGCATCCATGTATGTGATACTTAGTCTATTGTTGACGATTAAAATCTTTGAGATGGTCTGTTCTTTCATACTATCACTGTGAAGATTGAAGGAAGTTCAAATGCCAGCGTCCGTACATTGACTAGTCTCACCACACGACCTTCAATTCAATTTTTTATAGTAATTCATTGTACATGTACGCCTGAGTGTTACTTCAGGTGAATCTGGTAGACACAGGCCTGAGGGGAAACACCTGTAGGAAACAACGTTACGTTGTGCTTCTGATTCCAAGTCAAGGAAGCGACCTTCTTAAAAAATAGAACAGTTCTATTTTTCAAGAAGGCCGCTTCCTTGACTTGGAATCAGGAGCACAGAGTTGTTTCCTACAGGTGTTCCCCTCAGGGCTGTGTCTGCCTGACTGACGTAACGTGAAGTGACAGTACTAAAGTCAGCCGTTGTGTTCACAGACATGACCGTAAGGGCCACTGACCTTCTTGAATCTTGGTACTACTAGTGTGTTTAGTTACTGCGGTCCCCATATGAAACATAGCGATTTGGAACATTTTTATTTTAGTAGATTTTTAGGCAATGCAGCATAGCACAATAGGTGGATACCCCCGAAGATGGTGTGGTATCGTCCACAGTACTAGTAGTAAGAACCAACTTCGCCGCACTTCTGCCTGTGAAGCTGGGGTGTTACACTGAACCGCGTTGTAAAGATATAGAAACTCCTGTGTTACACCGAATGGCGGTTATGAAAAAAGCTAGTCCCATGACCGACACTGGTCGTCAGGGGGACAAGGCAGACTTTGTAGCAGAGGTTATACCGGCTTATACCAGCTATAAAAATACAAGAATTCGACCGATACACAGTCCGATCACATAACGTATTTCCCCAGTACAAGGCGGCACAACACAGTTTTCGCCCTATGGGGATTTCTATAGTTAAGGACACCAAAGTGATTCAATTCGACTCACTAAAAATTATAGTAGGGTGCACAAGCAAGGTTCAGAATTTTGATATGTTTAATTTCAGGCTTTGGTGTACAAAATATGTGAAAATGAGCATACGTTTGCCGGGTCGTTCTCTTCTCACGCCCTCTTTTATTATGGCCACTGCGGAGGTCATGGAACTGCAGCCGACGCACAGTACTAGGCGGGACAAGTATCCAAGCGCAAATCTACGCCGACTGAACACGCACCATAATTCAACTTTTAAGGTAGCAGAACACAGTATTTATCCGCGACCCCACGATGACGTAGGGATAAGAAATGAGTGCGACAAACAGCTTGCACCGCTTGTACACAGCCTACCGTGGATGACACCGGGACATACAAGTTACCGTATGGTATCATAATATGTCGGCTTTGATATCGCATAATTGAGATTAGGAAGACTGCTCGGTCGGCGTATAAATGCGCGTGACCTTTTCGCTGCCTGCCAGGGTGAGTCGGCTGCAGTTCCGGTGCGCTCCGCAGGAGGTCATTTAAAAGAGGGCGGCATAATGTCAAAAAAACAATAACTTTTTGTACTTTTTTGTTATTTTGTACATCGTACCCTATATTTGAACATATTCGTTTCTCGTGCTTTTCTATGGTACCCTACTGTATTTTTATCCGCGTCGATGTCAGTCACTTCCGGGTCCTTAACTATAGAAATCCCCATAGGCGAAAAACTGTGTTCTGCTACCTTACAGTCTCAAAAATGACGTATTCCTCTAACATTTACCACAAGTTCTATCTCAATACCATGCACAGAACAATCTCTGCACCCTTCTCTAGTATAGTATTGTGCAGCACTACTTTGTGCCCGGACTACTTTTGACTACGGGTTTCGCCCGTAAATACTGTGTTGTGCGCCCACAATGTCAAAGTCTACTCCAGACACCCCCCCCCCAATTCCCTTTCGGTTGACCCTTTCTTCACATCCCATCACCTCCTTTTGGGGTCGACGACCCTCTTGTAGGAAACCCACTATTGCAAAAGACCCTTTTAAATAAGGAAATGAAAGTGTGAACTTGGCTGTCACGTCCGTTAAGTCAGTCTACGAACATCTGTTTCCTTCTTAAGGCTACACTGACTTGATTATATGGATGACATCCAGAAATTTACTGTTTTGTAGAAGTTACGTATACCATTCACCAATTTCTTCAACCTTCCTGACCACTTAGTCTTAAATCTTGAAATGCAAATGAATTTAAGCATATCTTGGCCCAACTTCGCAAGTTCACACCAGTTTTTGGGTGCGCGAGGATGCCATCAATATTTCTAAATCAGTATGGCCTTAATGTAAACATGTCATTTGCCGATGACGACCGACGACTTGAACGAGGAAGACTTCCTTGTTGATTGTAAGATTAAATTCGCTTTGATCCGGCTTCGAGCCGACTTCGAACCGGATAGAAGCAAATCAATTTGGCTCGATCCGGACATTTTTATCCTTGTGGGAATGGGGCCTTAGCTAGCAGTACCAACAACCTTTGTAGCGGTCAGGGTCTTCAGCTCGGCTTCTTTCTGCATACAGAAAGACTTCCGCCCGGTTTCTTGGATAACGACTTGCTAACAACATGGAAATCTTTGTTAGATTTGTTCTTGTTCTTTGAAGGAACGTACATGTAAAAGTATACACACAAACAGATATTGATTGAGTTATAAACTGATGCCTCTACCTTCTCACCCTGGTTATGATCAAACAAGCCTACTAATAGAAATTAACATTTTGAAAAGTGGATAGTAAAGGATAAAGAATTCAGTTCAGTAAAACAACGCACAAAATTATGCCATATGGACATTTTGGTTGACATAACGCAATGGATACGTTGAAAAAGACAGGATATAGAAATTGACTATCAACTTCTACGTCTGTAATAATAAAGCAGGATTGACAGAGAAAGTAGTCACATTTTTGTGAATATTAAAGATAAATACAGTCACATTTAAAAATTCAAAACAACCCAAATCTTATTGCAATCACCTACAATCTACGCAAAGTAATTGTACATAATAATTGCAGTCGGTCCTTCAATACAATACTTTTAAGCAAATAACAAGCACTACAAGAAGAAACTTATTACTAGTATGTGGTCAATACTTCTTTAAAAATAACACATCACTACATTGGGATTCCTACTATATACAGTGTCTTTAAGGTCACTTCTTCAATAATACACTAACTTCGTGTTTCCAAAATATGTAATACAGTGAATTTGCTTTCAATTGTGGCTATCAGTGTATCTGTATAACAGGAGTTCAAATATATACAAAGTTCTCGGATGATATCATGTTATGTACCTAGAGCAGTGTATCTCTAGTTCTATAGTGGATTGGTTAAGGTCATATAATTAGGATCAGGCACGGTTCTGGATAGTCTCCGCGTATCCAAGAAGGTAGATTTGCCCCAGGCATGGTTCTGGATACGCGTGGACAATCCAGAACCTCAACCTTGCCTAAGCATGGTTCTGGATCAAGCACGGTTCTGGATACAACAGATATTTGAGTCAGTACAGAGGTCTTTTGTGTATTTCATCCTTCTTGTATGGTTGATTACTTAGCCCTTTCCTATAGGAGAGTTTTCTATGCGATTGTCTCTTTCCGTGCAGTGAATTTGATGCCACCAAACATCCTTCCTATGGACTCAAAACAGGGGTCCACGAAGGTGGACAGGAACAGGGCCCAGATCTTGCCGTAGCAGTGCAGGTTGATGACGTAACCCTTCACGCAGGGCACCACGCACCATATTTGGACACAGGCCAGACAGCCGAAGTAGAGCCCCCAGAAGAACGCGAGCGGTACCGCACAGCAGAAGGACAGGATGCGGTAGCACCAGGACTTGGTTCCCTTGTATGTGCGCTTGGACACGTCCCACACCTGGTCATAGCTGTAGGCACTTTCGGGCTCCGCTATGATCTCGTCAAAAGTTACCTGCAAGAGGAACAAAATATACACGTGAAAACTAGAAAGGTGACATTTGCAAAGCATATATAATGTTTACTTTTAACATGGTCTAGCCTGGCAAACCACTGCTCTATCTAGTGACCAGGTCCCTCAACACTTGCCGCATAACGTGATCCTACATCACAGGATGTCTGCTACAGCGCTAGTTACCATGGTGACAGCCATCTGGTCCAGGTCATTGACCTTATTTATTTGGAGAAAAAGAACAACTATCCAGAACCGTGTCTGAGCATAATTCTGCATGGATAAAGCACGGTTCTGGCCACATCATAGCTACGATGTGTTTTTTTCACCACGATATCTCTATACATTTGAGAAGAACCAGCTAGCTATAGGTGTTTTCATTTTGTAGGTGCATCGCAGGATATACATGTATGTTAACGCGGGGCTTAACATAATCTCGACCTTTGCAGGCTGAATAAATAGTAGAAAATGGTCCACAAATGGACCCCCTCTGACTGGCCAACTTCTCTTGCCAGTTCAATCCTATGTTTAGGCCGATTTTTACTATTTATTCACCCTGTAAAGGAGTCTGGTGCAGACTAGACTTAACATACAGTGCCTATAGTACATCTGTATTACTCAATCCTATTAACGCGCTGGATACCAGGGGAATGGAACGGAGCCAAATGGTGATAAAGCTGCAACAGAGCTCCACTATGACGTTGACCTCATCCGTATTGAGCCATCTGCACAGAACCTTTTTGCTAATTGAGTTTCCATATTTCGTATTGTCGGAAGGGAAAGAGGTCTCTTTCTCTGATACTCTTTCAGAATCACTAAGTATCACTGGCTCAGATTTCTACTGTTGTCCCTTTTGTTTTCTTATAAACAAATCAATAGCCTCAGTAGCAGGCTTATAGAACTGGGGGTTTGGTGGTCTTCGGCTGTTTTCTGCTTAGCCCAGTTCTAAGAACGGGGGCAATTCAACCAGGCCGGCTATGTTGTCTATATGCAATCAGAAAATAGCAAAATCTCCCAAAGACCCTGAAGACCCCCCCCCCCCAAACCCCCAGTTTGGCATGCTGTGGAGGCTATCAATTATTGCCATCAGGCCTTGGCTTGAGACTAAAATGTTGAGTCTCCTATCGTTAAGTGTAACGTTATTTTAACAAGAGTTCCACAATCTCATACCTTCGCCAAATGAGGTTAACCCTTGCGGCTGACGAATTATACAATTTTAATCATTGATTTTGTAAATAAGAGCCTCATTTGCATGGACTATGTCAGTTGATCATATTCTTCATCCAATGACAGCCTTATCATAACAAAAAGGCTATTTTAGCACTTCCTCATAAATTATGCAAATGAGGTCATGATTTGAATAAATTATGTTTGTTGATGTTCACCTTCACTTAACTTCCAAATGTGGCAAGTATGAAATTCGGGGTGCAGCAGTTACAACTATGAAATTATAAGAATTTTCCATTAATTATGCAAATTAGGTCCTCATTTACATAATATATATCCTCAGATGTTTTTCTCGTTCTCAAGTAGATGTCACAAGTGTTTCATAGTTCTATTATCGAACAAAGCAGAGTTATAAAATTTCCTCATTAATTATGCAAATTAGCACCTGATTTGCATAATTGCCATCTGATCATGTCAAGCATCACTTATACTACTTACATACCAAAAATCACGACAATACGTCAACCGGTTCTTGAGTTATCGTCCTTCAAATTTTTTTCAACAAATGCTCCTGCAGTTCCAGAACAAGGCGCTAGGGGACCCAAACTCACGTCACTTCTTCCCTACCACAAGAGCTATCTACCAACCAAAATTCGTGACCCTAGCATGTCCAGAACATGAGATATCAAAACCGGAAGTTCAGCTGCAGTACCTAGGAAAGCCGCCAGGGGGCCCAAAATCTAATCATTTCTAGGTCTCATGAAGACCTACCTACCTACCAAGTTTCATTCCAATCCATTTACTGCTTCTCGAGTTATCTTGCTAAACCACACACACACAAACACACACACATACCCACACACAGACAAACGCTACTGAAAACATAACCTTCTTGGCGAAGGTAATAACATTACATTTTCAAGAATAATTGCATATCTATATGATGTACAAGACAACGTTTACGAAGGCCCATAGGTACACTTAGCATTTTTTATTCCACTTTAGTATTTTCTATGGGTACTTTGTATTTTCTATGGGTACTTTGTATTTTCTATGGGTACTTTGTATTTTCTATGGGTACTTTGTATTTTCTATGGGTACTTTGTATTTTCTATGGGTACTTGTTTTTTCTGTGGGTACTTTGTATTTTCTATGGGTACTTTGTATTTTCTATGGGTACTTGTTTTTTTCTGTGTGTACTTCGCGAAGTTTTTTTGGTGGCTGGCGAAGCGACATTCATTTTGCTTTGATGTGGATGCTCCCATTTTTATTATGGGCGGTATATTTCTGTTTACCATTCCAGGCAACTAAATTT